ACCAAATAGTGATGGCCTCCAACCAAATACTGATGGCCTCCAACCAAGTAGTGATGGCCTCCAACCAAATACTGATTGCCTCCAACCTACTAGTGATGGCCTCCAACCTACTAGTGATGGCCTCCAACCTACTAGTGATGGCCTCCAACCAAATAGTGATGGCCTCCAAACTACTAGTGATGGCCTCCAACCAAATTGTGACGACCTCCAACCTACTAGTGATGGCCTCCAACCAATTGTGACGGCCTCCAAACTAGTGATGGCCTCCAACCAAATTGTGACGGCCCCCAATCTACTAGTGATGGCCTCCAACCAAATTGTGACGGCGTCCAACCTACTAGTGATGGCCTCCAACCAAATTGTGACGGCCTCCAGCCTACTAGTGATGGCCTCCAACCAAAGTGTGACGGCCTCCAACCTACTAGTGATGGCCTCTAACCAAATTGTGACGGCCTCCAACCTACTAGTGATGGCCTCCAACCTAATGCTTAATACATATTGATAAGAAGATTGCTTGTTTTCTGCCTTGAGGTTCTTGGCTTCACAGGTCTCATGAATGTCAACACAACGGGGAGCGCCTGACCAGCGTTCGAAAAGATGTTTGTTCCCTTCCTAGTTCTCTAAGTAACAAGCGTCTGTCTGACGGGCAAAAACACCGGAACACTGAGCTGACTTTCACGTCCAAGCGCCATGCCCACGTCGCTGAGCTCGCTGAGCTCGCTCTGCACTTGCGGATGCTTCTCGGGGTGGACTCGGCTGACCGCGACAACCTCCCGAGCCGTGCCCGATTGCTCCCCCAGCTGGGGCCCGTCCCCAGAAGTCGATGAGATTCCATCACATGATCGGCCACGGGTTGGCAGCTGGGCATCACCGGTACCTTCAATGCCAGCGCCGTGGGGGACCTGGGAGATGGAGATCAATGAGGGTCCCAATTCCTATGAGAACCGCACCAGTCACAATTTGGTCCTCAAGCTGGAGGTGCCTGGCACCGACAGCCACCGTGGCCCCAAAGGAGGTCCCAAAAAGGGCCCTAAAGAGCTCAAAAAGCCAAGGATCAGTGAGACGAGTTTCACAGCTCAGCCTGGGAGGCTTCAAGAGGTTGGGATTACAAGGACCAATTCACCTCCAAGCTTCATGGTGGAGCAATTGTTATCCTCGCCTGGCAGCCTCCCACAAGGGCTCACTCAAGAGGAGAGCGACAAGCAGATGGAAAGGAATGTGGACAAGGCACCTGATACTGTGATGATGGGTGCTGCCTTCAGAAAACACGAAAGGTAGCCTGGTTGCGTTCTTGTTCCTAGTAGTACGGCTAGGAGCCCCTAGTAGTGTCCTTGCTCCTAGTAGCGATGCCAGGAGCCCTTGGAAGCTTCTTTGTTACTAGGGCTAGCTTGAGTTTGCTTTGCGAAGCAAAGGGGTTAGCTTGAATAATCTTGAATAGCCTGCTCGGGACCAAATATAGATTCTACTGACCCCCCCTCCAATGTGATGAATGCATAATTGATAAATCAACTATTTTGGTGACCCCCCCCCTCGCCAGCACCACTATCATCACACAGTAGCAGCAGTGCCCCTACAATGAGGTTGCGCATGCACGGCTTTGACGCAGTGCGTGCAGCTCTTACACATGCCAGCGTTTACAAGACGCAACCTTTACGCAAGCCAGGGTTCACACGCCATATTGCTCTACACTCTACACAAACGAGCGTTGACGCAACACAGCCTCTACGCAAAGCTGTGTTCACGAACCTCACCACACCACCGCATGCTCTAGCAACCTCTCCCCATCACTCTTATGCGGAGTGCGTGCGTGGCGACCGCACTTGGTTTACCAGGCAATTCTTACACACCACGGCTCTCACATACAACAAGTGCCACGCTAGTAGTAACAGGTGCCTTACTGGTAGTAACAAGAAGCTATTAGAAACAAGTGCATCGCTTCTAGTAACAAGTGCCACGCTAGTAGTGTTGACAAGCCTCCACGACACCACACGTTGTAGCAACCACTCCTCTCTGACATAGGTCCATTCTCTCTCACACCATACTTGATACAGCACCTCTCATATATTCCTGGTACCTCTCTACCTTTCGTGTTTCCCTGTCTGAAGGGTGACGTCTCCTAATAATTTTCTAGGAATATTGTTTTCAAAAGGTACTGTATTTCTAGAAAGGGATAGGTGCTTGGGCCCCGGTTGTCAAAATTCCTTTTCCTTCAAAAGGTAGAAGGAGGTCAAACTAGTTTTGCGTGAGATAGGTCAGGGTGAACTCTGTGGGATGGAAGCTCGAAACGGATCATTTTCAAGAGACGATAACTAGGCGATGTCTCTTGTGGACACTTCTATTTTTTTTGATATTCTTTACTATTCTTTACTTTCCACTACTTTCATGCACTTTCCTGTTGCTGTCATTTCTTGTAAGAAATTTTATCTGTTTATTGTAAGAGCTTTCGCCCGTTTCTTGTAAGAGCTTTCCCCGCTAATTGTAAGCGCTTCCCGGCTGGGGGTACCTTTCAAACACCAAACACCTGCCAGGAATAATTATGAGGGGGTGGGGTGCATAGTGTTTAATTATAGGAGGGTAACCACCTCCCTCCCCACCTACAAGGGAGAGGCCATCTGTGAGGAAAGAGAAATAGATCATTAATTTTTGAGTGCGTATTTGCTTGAAAGTCAACCTAGGATCTCTCTACTGGACAGCTGTAGGATCCCCAAAAAGTAACTTAAGCAGTCTCACGAGAGTCTAAGCTACAGAGATGAGAGCCGCATGCTTTCGCTGAGCTTCACCTCACCACCAAGCAGCAATATTTGCAATATTGAATATTTCAAACGAATTCACAAGGAGATGCGAAAGGGTCCCATTCTTTGAGTGTAGAGATCTAGGCCTTGCAGAACTTGCCGAAGTCGATCAACGAGCGTATTGCGAAAAGCCCACGACGGCTTTTGGTACAACGGAGCCCGCAGGGACAACGCCTGCGGCAAGGGATTTTGAGAGGTGCCACCATTGCCTTCATCACAACGGGCTACGAAGGTTGCCGAGGGGAAAGAAAGTTTACCTTTTCAAGAAGTTCTTTTAAGGAGGTCTTAGACGAGTCAAGAATGACTTGGATGATTGGAGTTAAGAATGATTGGAGTGTTTTGCAGGGAAACGCTTCATCTATGAGAAGGCATACGAGCTGGGCATTCGCATTGTCCTCATCGACAGCCCGACCTCCTGGTGTCAAACTCTGGTGGAAGAGAAAAAGGCCGTCAAGTTCATTCCAGCAACTTGCACGAAATCAGACTGACGGGCAGGTTGGAGGCCATGGCTAGGATTTTCTTTGGAAGATTTCCCAAAGGGTAGGACTCTAGGACGGGCAGCACGAAAGACTGACCATTGCGTCGCGCAGGACTCCCAAAAGTGTTACCTGCCACCTCCCAGGTGGATATGAGCCAAGCATCTTCTGAGGCGAAGCGGGAAATGGGGAAGTTTTGGTTGTTTCGAGCGGGTAGATGACAAGCTGTCACTTTGCCTTTTGGTGTCGTGCTATAGCTGCTAGGGCATTCAAGTGCTCAAGCTTCAGTTGTGAGATGTATACTTACTACTACTACTGCTACTACTACTAATTACTACTACTAATTACTACTACTAATTACTACTACTAATTACTACTACTAATTACTACTACTAATTACTACTTCTACTACTTCTACTCCTACTGCTACTCCTACTGCTACTCCTACTCCTACTGCTACTACTACTCCTACTACTACTACTACTACTACTACAACTACTACTACTACTACTACTACTACTACTACTACTAGCTAGAAACATGCACTTTGTGCCCAAGGCAACCTTTGGAGGAAACGAGCAGTTTTGTGTGTTTGAGTAGAGTTAAGTTTCCTCGCTTTCACAGCTCTCTCTTCGATCCTTTTCGATCCTTTGTTCCCGCATTCGTTTTCGCTTGGCCTGCGGGGCCTGCAGCATGCCCGAAGCGGGGTCAGGTCTTGGTAATATTTGGCCTTTTCCCAGTCTTCGTGATGCAAGGAAGCCATGCAATGTGACCATGTTGTTCAGGGTTAGTTAGGGGTGCGAAGAGGATGACGAAACCTGGGCCTTTTGTTGCACGTGTTTTTTCCTCCAAATCCAGCATATTTTTCTGGAAACAGTTTTGACGGCCAAACGGACGATGTAGAAGTGGTCGACTCAGGTGGTGAAGTCTTGCCTCACTGCCTTGGAAGCTTGCGAGAACGACCCGTTGGTGGGCAAGGCAAGGATCCACGAATCCGATCAAGTTCTCATCGGATCGATTTGATCCTTGGGGCTCTATTGACAGAAAAAAGAACGAACCAACATGTTCTTCAACAATCTCCTTTGGCTGCACAACAGTTCAAGGGCCACACAGAATCTTGTATAATCTAAGGACAATGTTTGGATGAATAGACGTGTGAGCTATCCTGTAGCAGGTTACCTAATAGCGTCCAGCCCTTACTCAATTAAGTAGGCGGCTACTTACTTGAGCAAGGGCGGGCTAAAAAACATATAAAGCAATCGCTGTCCAGACATGTACCGATCCGAGCCACTCGAGCGAAGGTGGATGGTTTAGCGACCTTTGCTGAGCTCTCGGTGCCCTTGACCGCACGCTTGGCGGAGCTGCTGGGCTTGCCAGGGCCACAGCCGGATGCCACAGACAAGGCGCGAAGCGTGCTTCGAGGAGGTCGGAGCGATTCTCCTCTCCAAAGATTGGTTGCATGGGAACCAGAAAGTCTTCAAATAAGTCAAGCCTCCAGATCTAGAGGCGTCTCCCATCGACTCTTCTTTAGCACACGAAAGCCGCGTCGTTGCACGCCACGGCAGGCGCGCGACAAGGCCGCCACGCGCCGGGCCATGCGGCAGAACGGGCTGCCCACGCCGCCGGTCTACGAGATTCGCTGTGATGCCGATGTGGAGAAGGCTGCCGAGGTGGTGGGCTTTCCGGCCGTGCTGAAGCCTGTGTGCGGGAGCACAGTGGAAGAAAGCGTGAAGCGGTTGAAGAGAAAGATTTACTGCAAAGTGCAGCTTAGGTTTCCCAAAAAAGCCAGGAATCAAATGAATAGGGCGAGCGCTTCTTCAAACAAGATTCCCCCGGCCCTCAGGCGGGGGGAACTTCCTTGAAGAAGCATGAGCTATCCTGCGTCCTAGGTGGTAGCTTTACGGCCTACCCCCCTGGGCTTAAGAAAGAAAGCCCCTAGTAGCTTCTTGCTCGTAGTAGCGATGCGAGGAGCCCCTAGTAGCGTCCTTGTTACTACTAGTAAGGCACTTGTTACTAGTAGCGATGCACTTGTTCCTAGTAGCTTAAAAAAGAATTCTATAGATTGGAGTTTGAAGTATTGTGGAGGGAGTAGGATTGGGTGTCCAGATGCGTCCAGAAAAACATTGATAGGATGACTAGAATGTTTAGAATGTTCAATGTTTTGTAGGAGAGAACAAATACCAACAGAAAGAATGTTAGTGTTTGTTCTTTTTGGTAGCCAGCTTGAGGTTTTGGTAGACTTGGGTGTCACCTTGATTTCTCCTTCTTTTCATCGTGTTCCGCTGGATTCGGACTTGGATCCGAACTGGAACGAACAGATCCCACGCGGGGAACTGGATCTGTTTCGCTTCGAGGTCTGGAGCTGCCTCTGTTGGAGTGAAGAAGGTGTGGTTTCAGGGCCGCTTCAAATGGTGAGGACGCTACTAGGAGCAAAGGGCATCGCTACTAGGAGCGTTCGGACGCTACTAGGGGCTCCTGGCCTTACTACTAGGAGCAGGGACGCTACTAGGACCATTTTGCCCTTGTCATACACATACAGGTAGAGTCCCTGGAAGAACTTCGGGCCACCTACGAGGCAGGAGAATTGAGAAGAACGCTTCTGACCTTTCTTTCTAGTAGCAATGGCCTCCAACCTAGTAGCGATGGCCTCCAACCTAGTAGCGACGATGGCCTCCAACCTAGTAGCGATGGCTTCCAACCTAGTAGCGATGGCCTCCAA